GAGAATCCCAAACCCTCTGTGCAGTTGTAGGGAGAATCCTAAATCCCTGATGCAGCTGCTGGGAGGATCCCAAACCCTCTGTTGAGCAGTGGGGAGGATCCCAAATGCCCGGTGCAGCTGTGGGGAGAATCTCAAACTCTCTGTTTAGTAGTGGGGAAGATCCCAAACCCTCTGTGCAGCTGTGGGGAGGATCCCAAACCCTCTGTGTAGCTGTGGGGAGGATCCCAAATCTCCTGTGCAGCCGTGAGGAGGATCCCAAATCCCGGTGCTGCCGTGCCAGGGAGCAGGGGCAGCAGGGCCCGGAGCGGGGTGGCAGTGCCCTCCATCCCTGCTGGCAGCGTTGTGTCCAGCACAGCCACCCCCGTCCTGCTGAGGCTGCCAGGGGCTGGAATTTCCAGCTGGAAACCAGTGAGGATGAGCAGATGGAAGGGAGGAGCCGGCAGAAAGGGTCGRGGGCACACAGCTCTGCCACCAGCGGTGCCACCCTCTGTCCCTGACCTGTCCCCGCTCGCCTGCTGCAGGCATGGATAACTTCGAGTACAGCATCCAGCTGAACGACCGCGAATGGGCCGAGTTCCTGCGCGCCTCCGACGAGTGCAGCCTGGCGCCCGCCTCGCTGGCCACGGCCGACGAGCAGTGCCTCAGTGACATTGAGCAAGGGGACACCTCGGGACGGGACTGTCCCTCCTCGACGGGCGGCGAGCCAGCGCCTGGCACGGGCAGCCCTGCCCCACGTGGGGTGCCCGGTGACATCGGTGACACCGACAGCGACACCGCCCCGCGCCTCCGAGCCCCGCCGGAGCTGCTGTCGGGCAGCGAGGACGAAGCGGAGCTGGGCTCCGTGGGCAGGTTCTTGTGCGACAGCGACAAGCCCGGGTCCCTGTCACCCGCTGCCATGCCCAGCGCCCAGAGGAGGCAGCCACCACGGCCACCTGCGGCCACTCCGGCCGGTGGCACAGCCCAGGGCAGCCCCGGGCAGGACACCGAGAAAGGAGCGGCCGGAGGCGGCCAGGACACGGAGCCGCAGGGAGGGGATGCAGGAGGGGGACAAACCCCGGGTGGCACCGTGGTGGCACCGCCGGGGGTGGTGGCACCGCCGGCAGTGGTGGCATCTCCGGCAGTGGTGGCATCTCCGGGGGTGGTGGCACCCCCGGCAGTGGTGGCATCTCCAGGGGTGGTGGCACCACCGGGGGTGGTGGCACCTCCGGGATCTCCAGCACCATCTGCTCTCCCGGAGGAATCGGCCGCCAAAAGCTCTGCCGGCGCCTCCCCGCCGGAGCCCAGGCTGCGGGGAGCCGCGGGTGACCCCCCGAGCCCGGCCCCGGGGACAGCGCAGGAAGAACCGAGCTCCCCGGGCGGATCCCCCAGCGTGGTCAGGCCCAAAGTGCCGGCGCAGCCCAGGAAGAGCCGCCGGCAGCGCGGAGCCAGCGCGGCCGAGGGGGACAGGGACCCTGCGGGGGCTGCGGCGGGGGCCGGGAAGGCTCCTCCGGGCTCCCCGATGTCCTCTCGGAAGGGCAAAGCCAAGGAAAAAGCGGCCAAGGCAGCGCTGGTGAGGCTGGGCAGCGAGGAGGCTGCGGAGGGCAAGCGGGCGGTGGCCAGCGCTGGCCCGGATGGCGGCGAGCCCCTGAAACCGAGGGGGAAGGAGCCGGGGGCGCAGTCCCCAGGGAAGACAAAGGCCACCAAGTCGCCAAAAGCAGGGCAGGCTGGTGGCTCGGGCGTACGTGACAGTGCCCCAGCGGTCGCTGCCCCGGGAGAGCCGTGCCAGGAGATGCCAGGGAAGCCTCTCCAGCCCGGGAGTGCGGCGGGGCTTGGGGGCAATGCTGGTGGGGAGCCTGCAGCCGAGATCCCCGGTGTTTGTGCAGCTGAGATCCCCCAGAAACCTTCAGAGATCCCTGGGATTCCTGCAGCTGAGATCCCTGGGATTCCTGCAGCTGAGATTCCCCAAAAACCTTCAGAAATCCCTGGAGTTCCTGCAGCCGAGATCCTCAAGGAGTCTGCAGCTGAGCTCCCTGGGATTCCTGGAGCTGAGATCCCCCAGAAACCTTCAGAGATCCCTGGGGTTCCTGCAGCTGAAATCCCTGGAGTTTGTGCAGCTGAGATTCCCCGAAAACCTTCAGAGATCCCTGGAGTTCCCACTGCTGAGATCTGCAGGAAGCCTGCAGAAATCCCTGGAGTTTCTACAGCTGAGATTCCCAGGAAACCYTCAAAGGTCCCTGAAGCTCCTGCAGCTGGGATCCCTTGGGAGCCTGCACCCGGGATCCCCAGGACCCCTCCAGCTGAGATCCCCAGGATCCCTGCGGCCGATATCCCCAGAATCCCTGCATTTGAGATCCCCAGAATCCCTGCAGCCGAGCTGCCCAGGATCCCTGCAATCGAAGCCCCCAGGATTCCTGCAATTGAGACCCCCAGAATTTCTGCAATCGAGACCCCCAGAATTCCTGCAATCGAGATCCCCAGGATCCCTGCAGCTGAGATCCCCAGAATCCCTTCAGCCGAGCTTCCCAGGATCCCTGCGATTGAAATCCCCACATTCTCTGGGGCTGAAATCCCCAGAATCCCTTCAGCCGAGCTTCCCAGGATCCCTGCGATCGAGATCCCAACATTCTCTGGGGCTGAGATCCCCAGAATCCCCTCAGCCGAGCTTCCCAGGATCCCTGCGATCGAAATCCCCACATTCTCTGGGGCTGGCATCCCTTGGGAAGCCGCGGCCGAGTTGCCCAGGGCCAGGAGCCCGCTGTGCTTTGCAGAAGGAGCCTCTGGCACTCCCAACTCTCTGGATGTCACCTGGCCCGAGATGTACGATTACCTGTTCTGCGATTCCCAGGAGGAGGACGAGCTGGGCAGCTCCCTGGAGGGTCGCAAATYGCCCTTGAACAGGGAATTCTCCTGGCCCGAACTTTATGAGTATTTTTTCAACGAACCCGAAGSAAAGAGGAAAAAAGGCAAAGGTAAAGACAGGAAAAGGAAGAAGTTTGGCGGGTTAGACCGCGCTGGGATGGAAAAGGAGGATCCCAGCTCGGCTGCGGGCAAGGACAGCGTGTTTATCCCGGTCCCTGATGTTTATGGACACCTCTACCCGGAGAGAGCCCAGAACAGGATGGGCTGGAGAGGGATTTTCTCYACGGCTCCGGCCTCCGAGGTGAAGAAAGTCGTGGGGGCTTTGAAGGCTCTGCTGCRAAGGCAGGTCCAGCTGGGAGGGGGCCAAACCCCCGCGGGCTCCCAGGCCCTGGTGCCCAGAGGGTCCGGGGACAAACTCGCCCTGGTGCCGCTGGGAGGAGCCCAGGCGTGGCCGGAGGATGCGGACACGG